TTGAGGCCACCTCCTCAAAACCAGTGATATTTCAGGTTTCATATTATAATGGAGGAATGATTTGCCTGTTTATCAGTTTATATGGTGAGTTCACATAATGTAGTTAAATGACATAGTATAAAATGCTTCCTAGCCACTTTTTCTCCCACTGATGGCACCAAAAGAAAAGAAATACTTGCCAAAAGAAAAAAGCTTGGTTTCTTCTCTGCAGATGGGGCCATCTTGTTCTGCCCCAGGGACACAGGAGCCCTCCTGGAAGCCTGAAACAGTCCTCAGGAAAGTCATCGAGGGCTCCCTGCCTAGGAACCCAGTGTAGGGAGGCCTTCCTCAAACCGACACAAACTCACGGAGCAGAGTCTGCAGAAGAAAGCCACCACCCAGATGGATGAAGCGCAGATCCAGGACCCCACTTTTAAAAGGCTACAATCATCCAGTTGTGCAACTCTAAATTGAAATTTATTCAGTTTTTAGCATTACTTATAGAACAAATAAAGGTTAAGTGATTAGAAATGCCATCCAATTTGTCAACTTCATGAACCTGGCTTAATGCTGGAATTTAAAATAAAAGAGGAAGTAATGAGTCAGAAGAGTTGAAATCTCAGTGAAATTACCCTTGGCTACTCCAAAAGGGGTCTGCCATCAGTCACTCAAGGATTCCAGCTCTGTTAAAGGAATCTCCTGTGGGATCTGGGAAGAATCTCTGGGGAAGCAGCGGGAGAGCCCCATGTGCTGAGGACATTTACAGGCAGCCCCAGAGATACCGCAGGTGGGGTTCCAGATGACTGCAAGGAAGTGAATACCACAATAAAGTGAATTCAATGAGTTTTTTTGTTTCCCAGTGCATATAAAAGTCATGTTTACACTACACTGTCCTCTACTAAGTGTGCAATAGCAGTATATCTAAAAAAGCAACGTACATACTTAAATTAAAAGTATTTTATTGCTAAAAAATGCTGACCATCATCTGAGCTTGCAGTGAGTCTCATTCACTGATCAGAGATCACCATAAGAAATATAATAATAATGAAAAAGTTTGAAATATTGCAAGAATTACCAAAATGTGACACAAAGGCATGAAGTGAGCAAGTACTATTGAGAAATTGCACCAACAGACTTGCTTGACTTACGGTTGCCACAATCCTTCAATTTGTAAAAAGCACAGTATCTGCAAAGCTCAGTGAAACAGGGTATGCCTGTACTCTGGCCTGGGTCATGGGAGGGGTCTCCCGCTGCTATGCTGCCCTTCATTAGCTTGTCAGGCCCAAATAAGCTGCCTGATGGATAGGACAGGGTGGTTAGAGTCAGATCATCAAGGGCGTGGAAAGTGCCCACTTAAGAGAAAACCATTAATGGCTACCAGGCATTGGGTGTCCCTATTACCAGGCTCTCTCAACAACAGGCACATGATCTCATGTCCATCTTCCCAGCAGTACTATCAAAAAGAGTTAGTTTCCGTTTTCAGCTAAGAAAACCTTTGAGCAGTTAAATACCCTGGCTGCGGTCACATAGTAACAGGGTAACGTGGAATCAAAGCTTACCTGATCTGGTTCTAAAGCACATCCTAATAGCTGCTGTGCCCTCCTGCTGGGCTCTGACACGTGCCTCTCCTAATGCCCTCGTGTTTGTTCAGAGCTCATACCATGAACCTGCTGTTCCACACTTCTAGCTGACATCTTCATTTTCATTCTCCCTTTTCCTTTCCCATCCACATTTTCTTCCAAAGACCTTATCAGAGCCTCAATTTCTTATAGGCAGGGGGAAATGAGATAAAGGAAACCCAAGTTGGAGTGAAGGAAGTGAGAAAGTCCAAAAGAGAATCCATCTGAGAGTTGAGAGGAAAAAGAGAGAAATATACCAGCTCATCGTGACAGCAAAGCTTTAGCCAGCATGCCAGAGCACTGAAGAAAAAGAGGCAGATGTTTTTAAATCCATTAATCATAAATCTAGTGATGACCTCATTCTTGTTTGTTTGGACTAAATACATCTATGTGATTAGTTTTATTGTACAATAATGTGCTTCAATGCTATTTATCAGAAGACTGAAAAATATTTTTGTTTAATTACTGGCTTCGAATTTGCTATTTTCTGTTTCAATAGATTCATGAATTGCAATCAAAAGGCAACCCACTTTCTGTAACTTGTCCTCTTGGATACTGTTAGAGATTTTTAAGTATATCCTTAGCTTTTGCTGTTCTCTCCTTGGATACCAATGCTTTTCCCAACATCTTACCTTCATTTTCTCTGTTTATGCTGTGCCCATACACATGCAGCAGTTCACGTTTATCTGGCTGGAGGAATGTAGGGAGTCCAACATTAACCTAATTATGAATCAAGTCTGGGCTTACTTTAATTTATATGCAAAATGGAAACATCTTTTTGTTTGACAAGCTTCTCCCACCCCTTTTGACACACTGTGCTAGTAGCAAAGGGCCAGAAGGAAGATGCCCCCATTTTTGAGCCTGCAGTGGAAAAGCATTTTATTTCATTCACAAGTTTGTTTCCTCCACTTATTTAAATTATTCTGAATCATACAGTATCTATAAAGGACTGGAAAAAAGAGCTAAGGCATTAAAAAGAAAAAGCTAGTGACTTTAAATAGTAAAATTGAATTGCTTTTAAGTGTCATATTACAGCCCCCTATTCTTACCAGTACAGAAACTGTTAGAGAAGATATTGCCAGATTCTGTACTGTTTTGGCTATCTTTCATTTCAATCAAATTGGAAAGTTAAAAATAGGGGAGAGAACGATTCATTTTGCCTGATAAAATTTAAGTTGCAACATCACCCTGATCTCCAAACCTTGCATGACGTGGTACTCAGTTTAAATGAATGAATGAATTCAGGAGGTTGGCTTTGTTTTCTGGATGATAGACTCACCAAGGATCAGAGGTAACTCCGCTGGGTCCTGAGAGAAGTCTTCAATACCTATGTTAGCTCCAAAACTAAAAACATGGTATATGGAAAGTAACTGGAGAAGTAATTTATTCCTGCTATGTTGGTAAGGTATTTCTTTTCATCAATGATTTATTGAATTGTATTCTTATAATGATACAGTTACATTTTAAAAACAAGCATTTTAGGATAATATTTGTAAGAAACTGGAAAAATATCCAGACACAGTTTCATATACCATGACCTGCGATACTGATTTTAGTCAATTTTGTCCCCGCATCTTATGCCAACAAAGACTGATTCATAAAGCATGTCCCTTAGTCCAGAACCAGATAATACTGGAGATAATTACTCTGTCTGGTTAGAGTTTAAGAGCAATTTCCTGAGGCACCACTTGGAAAAGTGAAAGAGCACACATGGGAATGAGTGCGGGTCAGATATATAGTAAAAGAAAAATAAGTAATTGTTGCACAGAACCTGTTTTCCAATCTTAGTTTAACTCATAACTGCATTATGCCTGATGATCCCACAGAACCTTTAATGGTGTGATTTTGCTGTGTGGACTCAAACACTTTTTAAGTTTTCTAGGCACACAGAAAAATCAAATGAATCATAATCCAACTTCAAACAGTATTTTACAAATATATCACTGCTTTATCACTTAAAAGTAAGAACTATTACTAAGATCTAAAGCAGAATCTGGATTTATTTTGGAAATCAAACTGTATTTTTATTTTTAAATAAGAAAAGAATCATTAGCTGTATTAACACACATTCGATTTAGGACACTTTAAAGTTTTATGTTTTCAATTAAAGAAATACATTACATTTTAAAGAATAATTGATTTTGAAGATTTGATGTATAATTTGACTTTAAAATAGGCTCTTATACATTTGATAAAAGAGTATGTAAACCTAAGAAAAATTTTAGCTTAAGAGCAATCAGTGAGAGGTATACTTGTCTTGGAAAACTATTGTTAATTAGTGTTCAGATTTTTCAGGTTCTCTAAATTATCCCTACTTTAAAAATGATGAGATTTGCTTCTTATGATGTTGGCAAAAGCAAATGAGGAACTGAGCATAATTTTGGTAAATTAAAACAAAGGCCAACTAATTTAGGCCATTGTTTGGGTTTTAAAACATTAATCTCTTATCCATTTAACTTTGACTTATTTGCTTCATATTAATTATCAGTTTCAAGTATTAGATTTGTCAGTCAATGTACAGGTAGAGAAAAATAGAAATTTTTTAAAAGATAAATCTAGATGTTAAGAGAAACCCAAATATCTGACCCAGAGAAGATCCTGTCATAGTATCTAATATTAAGTTTTTCTCCTTTTCCAGCTTAAAGAAATAAAAAGACTGGCAGTTTTTTCTTATCTAAATCTTTATTAGAAGAAAAACAAATTGATTTAAAACAATGAATAACAGCAAATTTCATTAAATATTAAACATTTTAGTTACCAAATATATTTAGACAATATGTTCCTAATATTTCTGCATAGCAGAAACACACTGATTATAGAGCTCAGACTGTCATATGCTCATATGAGTTTGTTTTTGGCATAAAAGGATATCTAAAGTCACATTTAAACAAATGTGATCATAGATAAACTGATATTAACTACTGTTGATTCTCAAAGCTCTCACAAGTTATCATATGTGATTGACATTCCCTTAGGGTGAATGCTTTATGGAATCTTTCTAGAACACTGAGTAACAAACTGAATTAATTTTCTTTAAAGTTAGTAGTACTAGTAAAATTATTTAAAATTGAATTAGAAAGTATGTTCCTGTTTATATTAGCACAATAAAAATCAAGATATTATAAGTACACTGTTTCATATCAAAAGTTAGAAAATGAAGTGACATACATGGAACACTCCTTGATGATAATAAACAATCATTTAAAATGGAGCTATTCAGTACACGATGTCTATGAGCACCCTTTCTAGGGGTAATGTTTCCCTTTCCACTCTGTAAAACACCGAGAAATGTAGTATTACATCTATTATATTTTCAAAGATCTAACTATAGAAAAGATCAGATTTTTAAAGTCCTCACTTTCAATTAAAAACAAACTTAACAAGTGTTCTGTCAGGTGTTTCTTTTTTTTTCTTGCGTGTAGTACACATTCATGAATGTTCACTAGGCGCAAGGGAGACTGTTTATGCTGCAAAATGTACTCTATACACTGAGGATACCAAACATACTGAAATGACAAGTAGTTTCCAACCAGTGAGTTAAGAGAAAAACAAATGCAAGACTTGTTTTAATCAATAAACATTGCAGGTTTTGTGTTTGTTTTTTTTAAAATTTTTTACAATATTTGTAAACTTGCCCACAAAAGCTGGGTAATTTTAAACAGCCAGTAAGGCACTTTGTCAGAGAGGACGAAGTAGTAAAGGCTGGATGATTGGCAATTTGTTAATAGGAAACATTCTACACTTAGAGCAAAATCCAGAGTGGGGCAGTCCTATCAAACAGGAGCAAGGGAAAAGTTTAAAAATTTGATTTCACTTTGCCAATTTTCCCTGCAGAAGTATTTTAGTTGTAATTTAAAAAATATATTGGGAGCTATCAATTTAAAAGACGTATCATTTTTCAATCTAACATTTAAAGAATATCAACATATTCACTAGTATTTTCAAAGCATCCAACCACTCTACTCAAAAAATGAATTACAAAACCAAAGACCTTAGTATAAAAATGCTCCATGTTTTTAACAATTCCCTTGCGACTTCCGATGGCTTCACATTTTACAGTATAAGCTTTGGTATAAAACATGCAAATAAAAGCCAACAAGGTTGTGAGTAGTTTTCCAAACACAAAGCACTTATGAAAGGAGTGTTGCACAGACACGGCAGACGAGGAAAAGGTCACACACACACCGCCTCAGGATGAATAGAGTTTGGACTTCTACTGCTTCTTAGTTTGCATACGTGGTTCTTTCAAAATCTTCAGCAGAGACCGATTCATGTAATAGGGTCTGTCAGCAGAACCATCATTTCTTTCTAAATCTTCCACTAGGAGGAAGAATGGCACAGAGTAAGTATTACGGCAAAAGTGTACGAGAACTAACATCGCCATCTGCTGCACACTTGCTTTACTGCAGTTCCAAAGGTTTGGTTTTTTTTTTTCTCTCTGAATAGCATCGTTTGGCGTCACTATTGTAAACAAAACTAAGAGAAAACAATCAGCCCTTGTTATGATGTAAGATACTGTCTCATTCTCTGCACCAGGTCAGATTCTACTAATAGTGCGTGCCTCTCAGCCGCATGATTGAGGAAATAATTTTTATCTTCTTTTGCATAGCAAACTTAATTATTAAAAAAGTTCATCAGGAATTCTTAAATTCACCTTCAAATTCCTAAAAAGTATTATGCACTCAATTTCTGAATTACTATATTTGTGCAAGATTGTTTTTGGTTAGTCATCATCAATTCAGAGAGCATCGTTTTAAAAATAAGATTTGTAAAATTTTAGTATATTTCAAATCCTTACACTGCAAATTTTGAAAACTATTGCTGTGTTGTTTTCAGTTATTACTTTCATTGCTTTGTAAGAAAATGGCTTTTGAGATTTTTCCTCAAAACAATGCTCATTCTTACTCTTTATTTATCGATTACACAAAGAAGAAATTAATGGAGCATATTTTTCTGACTAGAAAGAAGCCCATAATATAGTTAAAATTTCTCTGCTTAGAGATTCTTATGTGTTAAAGAACTTACTAAGAAATACTGAACCAAATGGCATTCCTTTTCCATTTTGCACTCAAGGGTTTTACCCTTAAACTATAACAAGTAGAATGTACCTCCATATAGTTCAGTGAGCACTTTTATTATAGACAATTTTCTGGTTTGATCAGCAGATATAATATTAAACATTTAATACATGGGCCTATCTAGTACCAAGAACCTAAAATACAGAATAGGTTATGATTGTCAGAAGTCTCCAAATTAATCTCCTTTGTCTTGTTTTCTAATTCCTAGGACAGCCAAGAATATAAGGAGAAAATAAGCAATTTGTTCTTACATGTTGATTTATTTTTATTCAAGTGATTTTGCAACTTATGTGTATCAGAATCAGCTAGAGAACTTATTAATAATTCACAAGCTGCCCCACATCCAAATACTTAATCAGAATCTCTTGTGAGGGGGCTAAGACATCTATATTCATAACAAGTTCTTAGAATGATTCTGATACATACCAAAACAATTTCTTTTGTGTCATTATTATGAGCCTTTTGACTACTCCTAAAGGTGATTTATTCCTTATAATTTTTCAACACTTAAAATAGAAGTAACTATTTTACTAGATCTTTGTTGTGACCCCATATTGTTGAATATAAAATAATAATAACCATCTAGAAAGATAGGATATCACTCTTCTCTGAATTGTATTTCAAGGAGAATGAGAGTGAAGACCTTTTGCCAAGATGTGAAGCCAAGCAACAGTTTTGATACAATAATCTCAAGAAAGTAAGCTAAGAACAACATGGTGACCATTATAAGGCCTGATATTTTGCAAATCTTCCCTATTCATTGGCTTCTTGCCATTAAGCTGCCATGGAGTCAGTTTACATCTAGGTTTCCATACTTCAGGATCATTAAATAAATTGGTATTAATATCAATTGATAACACAATAAGACATTTATGTCTCTCTTCTTGGACACATGGATCACATTTAGGTCAAAATGTTAGATCAGCATGTTCCTTTCTGTCAGTACATAAATAATCCTTATACATAAGCTCATTTTAAAATCCAAAAGAATATTTAGTGTAAAAGCCAAAAGGGTATTGATTCAATGTACCTTTTGGGGGTACAGTTTTACACTGTTAGCCATATCAAACACATTTGCCTACAGAGGATGGGTAGGCAAAGTACGTGAGTGCCTAATCCATGCTCTGCTCTGCCATGCAAAAGACTAAGGCAGCGGCCAGAACCCACTGTCGCTCTGGCCAGTAGGGATGGACGATGAAAATAACTTCCTTCTTAAACCATCAAGAGAGAGAGATTTCCTAACTCATAGTGTTCCCCTTGCTAAGGTACTATATAAGGTACCTATGGAGGCCTGTAGTATATTTTCTTAGGCTAAAATTGAAGTGTCTTACTTATCTTTTCTCTTTCCTCACTGAAAGTTAAGCTAAAATTAAACCTTTTGCAGAACAAAAGCACACACCAAATCTTGAACCAGGTATGCTCATAAAATACACAATCATGCTTCTGAATAAATACATACCAATTTTCTATATTGTGAGAATGGGAAAATAGGAATTTGTCTCTATTTGGGTTAGAGACAAAAGTCATTAGTTATGTGGCCATTTCAGTTTTTTTCAGAGTATTTTCATGGTTTCCAGAGTTTCAAGTTACTGGAAATGACATTACAGAATTCAGTTTTGACTTCACTATAAATAGAATTTCACTAAAAAAAAACGGGCTATGAAGTAATTTTTACCTAGTAATGCTCTCTATGGAATCTGTATTACATTAACAGCTATATGTTTGTTATGGTCTTGAATTACTTACTGAAATATACTTCCCAGGGAACCATTAATACAAGTTTAATCACAGTTTAGAGAGTCGTCCATTAGCTTGAGCAGTATACGTATAACCATAGCACCATATTTACAAATTGAGTACCATATGCTGGGTAACTATAAATCAGTTATTTCATGGCTAATTGATTATACATTTATAGTGTTTTCAAAAACTGCCTGAATATCCTTTACAAATATACATTTATAAAAAGAAAGGCTATCGAAGTGCTGCAATGGGAAACAGCACACTGAGTTACAAAAGTTTTAAAACATTTCCAGTTACAGAATTTTAAAAAATATCTGACATTTACACTTTGCTTTTCATCTGGAACCACAGTCTATAAGGTGTCCTATTTCACAAAGGCTACTGTCATCAAATGCCTTACACCGCAGATGGTTCTGGCTTTTTCAGAGTAAGCACAGACATTTCACATTGCTCAAAAATGTTATTTTCAAATTACAAATGACCTAATTTACAAAACTACATAAAAATGAGTGGCACTGTTTGGAGCTTTTCTACTTTTTTTGCTTCGGGGAAACTAGTTGCTTCTTGTTCAGAATTCCGTGCAGGGTAGGGGCTATGAAGTAGGGTTTTTCTGTAGATCCATCATTTCTTTCCAGATCTTCACCTGTATATGCAGCAGCCAAAGCAGGCAAAAGCAGCAAGCAGCAGCAGAAAAATTATACACATTTTTATAAATTGGAGAGCCGAACAGGGAAAAATCAGAGAAATCAGTGTTAGAAAGTCAAATATAAGACAAATGAGTGCAGTTACATTGTTGATACTGGACAAAGGAAGCATTGAAACATCTTAAATCCCACCCACTGCCAAACAGGTCTGTTTGGAGAGTTTAAAGGTTAATAAAATTTTTCATGTCCTATCAAAAGTATTATCTTTAAATTCTGTGACTGTTCATTTCAGAAAGGGAAATCACCACACCCCTCTGAGAGGAAGCTGAATAAAAAGTATATTAATCCTGTAACACAGATAATCCCAGTAAGTGGAGAAAAATAATTGAATTTCAGAGTTCAAAATCACTTTTTCCACATTCTGACTGGTGCAGATAAAGAAACTAAGGGATATGTAAAATGATTCTCCTGGAGTGGAAAGTCCTGGGGCGACCGGGATGAGGGGACGGCCCAGTCTGACACCGAGCTCAGCTCCTGCCCTGCTGAACGATAGGGCATCCCATCCTAGAGCCTGGCAGTGGGCCTCAGGTTATAACAGAAAGCAAATACCAGTGTTGCCTGACTACTGCCATACACGTTTCACCTTCCTGCTTTGCCCAGGCTAGTAACGAAATAACTTGTTGGCTGGTTGGGAGGAAGCATTGAAATGTTGCTGAGAAGCAAGAAGTTTGCATGGAGTTAAGTTTCCTGCAGACACAATTCAGAGCAGATAATTCTATCAATAAATATATAAATGCAACTTGATTCTATGTTTTGACTAGTATATCAAAAAGTTTGTTTTTTGTGGCCTTTATTTATTATGACATAAAGGATAAGAAATATACAAAACCATATAGGATAATCATAGATTTGTAGAATAAATCTAAATTATTTTCATCATACTCTTTTGGGAATGGTTTGATTATTGATGTAGTAGATTTTTACATTAGACCTTACAAGTGAACTTCCTTACATACAAAATGAAAAGCTAGGGAGGAAACATGACAAACACTGAATGTTTTTGTTCTTTCTTCCTTAATCATATTTCTATATCATATATCACATATTGATATCATATGTCTTAATCATTATTACCCTTGAGGTATTGGTAGGAAGCTGGTATGGATCACATTAATAATCATCTACAACTATTTTTTTTCCCATCCTGGGCCTTAGAATTCCCATTGTCTCATAATGTTAAAAAGAGGCTATGTTTCTGTATATGAAATATTTGCAAATGTTTTGGATTTTTAAAAACAGTTTTCTGGAAGCCAAGATAATGGGTATAAAATATATATATATACGTATATATGTATATATATGTGTATATATATACACACACATATATATACGTGTATGTATATATATATCAAAGGTACAATTCCACAAAATTAGAATTTGGCTTAGAGTACAATTTTAGAAAAATGTTTTCCAAAGTAAGATGTTGCCCATAGTAACAGCTGGGGAGGAAGGAGAAATGCATCTTGGTTTCCTTGTTCTCCATTATCAAAGACAAAAGTCTCTGAAAGGAAGCTATTCATGTTCAACATACAGTGTACTGAATAAAGTGTAAATAACACTTGGTTTTCAAGAAGTTAGCTATTATTAATTAATACAGAAGGGTAGAAAACATTTCTTACTGCTGAAATTTAAAATCCACTGTCAAATTCAAAATCCACAAGATCTGAAAAACTTTCAAAGACTGGAAGCTGGTACCTTTTATACATTTCCTGAGATACATTTTGAGAAATACTTTCAATTACAAGAATGGGGAGGATCCCAGTGGGATCTGCCAGTACTGCTCCCAAGATCAGTATTTGAGGTGAGGGAAGGGACCTTGGAACATTTGAGAGCTCACTCTCTGCTGCCTTGGACACTACCTTATTCCCAGGCTCCTTCTTCTATCTCAGATCAGAGCTGGGTTTGTTCTTTGGTATTATATAGATGGCTTTTCCTAACAAACCACTGAGGCACTTGGAAAAGATTAAATGTTCCAGTTCCATTTGTAGATAGAGGAAGAGCTAACTAATACACAAAGTTCTGGTATCCTTGTCCAATCATTGAAAATTGATTAAAAAATGTTCAGAGTAAACAAAATGGTCAAATCATTTTCTAGGAAGTTTTTCCTTGAACATATCTTCCTGTAGTTATCTCTTCTCCTGGCTCCAGAATGAAGTTGATGCTGTGGGTTATGCTAAAAAATAAACTGTTAGTTCTGTGTAAGTGGATCTCTCAGTAATGCCCTGTCACAGAATGTTTTCTCTGCTTCTCTTAAGAGCAGTGTACTGGAGAAATAATCTCTTAGAGGGCATAGCTGCAGGGATAGCAATGTCTGTTCTTCATCTGCTGACCCTACTTCTTTAGGTTGAAGATGAGGCCCAATGAAGATCAAGACGAAGATAAGGCTCCTAACAGGCACTAGGTTCTCCAGGGCTTTTAAAATGAGATACCATTAGGAAATATATCTATTCTGAGCTATATATGCCACATAGAGGCATAGTGAATAAGTGAGCGATGAAAGTTCTAAAGATGTATTTTAACTCTAAGTATCAGAATTGACCCAGGATTTCCTAGAAATGCTCCTCTATGAATCCTGCCTGTTCAGTATGAATGGGCCCTGTGTCTTTGAAACCACTGCCAGCTTGGCTTCATCAATGTCGATAAGGGCCCTCCTCAGTTTCCAAAGCCAATCTCAAAGCCCAGTTACACCCTTAGTTCTGTTAATAAAGCACAACAGAAGCCAATCATTATCATACATTTGAAAACATTAAGAAATTTAAACATCATTTCATGCTAACACCATGCCATGAAACTAGAGGCTCATTTCAGTAGCTGACCCTCCTGCACTTTGCAAACTCCTTTCTCTCAGCTGTTAAGGTTTAAAAAGCATCTACTAAACAATGTCTTATTTACTAAAAATAAACACTGTTTGCAGCTGCAGCCAGATCATAGCAAATCCACAAGCCAGCTACGGACATGAGTCTCAACCTTCTCATCTTTTGGTTAGCCACCAGAGGGGTGGGGGGGGGCGGTAAACACATATTCTGAAAACTTACAGAAGCAGATGAAAATTGTATCGATACACATTGCATAGACGCTGAAGAACCCATGCGCAACGAGGTAAGCTCCGATAATGACTGTCTGTAAACAAGTAAAGACGATAATGAAGCTCTGTCATTGACTCAGCCAGAAGAACACTAATGCCGTTTTAAACGAAAGTCATGAGAAAGCTTTGAAGTATTCTGAAGTATGATTTCAGTATAGAGACCAAAAAATTTCAATGACAATGTTTTTGAGATTTAAACAAAATGTGCTAGATTACCGGTCAGTTTTCTTACTACTATCCCTCATGCCAACAAAAATATCTCAGATTTAGGGTCTTGTACACAGAAGCCATAAAGGATAGGAGTTAAGAGCACACACTGCCACACTGCCTAGGTTTGGATCACATCTCAGGCACCCATTCAACAAGTTACCTAACCTCTCTCTGCCTCCTATATAAAACTGTCAGTGGGGAAGGAGAAAACATGAAAAACAATAGTATTTATGACATATGGATTGACTGAGTTATATTATCATAGTTACGGTAGGGCTCTACCCAGTCCTCTCCAGGTGCCACATCTATCCCCCAGTGGCTGTCAGTGTAGACTGCTAGTGACTGAGCTGCTTCCCCTACTAGGAATCGCCCTCCTTGCAGGGAACAGCCTCATCCAAGGCTACACCCTCATTCAGGGGGCAACCCCTGACAAGAGATGCTGATGCAGTGTATAAAAGCCCAATCCCTCTGTTGGAACTTCTGTAATCCTTTCTGAGGCTTCACCCAAAACTGCAGGGTGGATCAGCTTCTTCCTCTGCCAGGGCCTGCCCTCCTCATGCCCTTACAAGGGTATCTCAGAGAGCACCTCCTAAGAAAACATCCCTGTGCAATCCTCTGTCTCAGAGGTTGTTTCCAGGGACCCCAATCTCTAAAGCAGAATGAGACCTGTCACAAAGTAAGACCAATAATGCTAGTTATCCTAATTTCTCCTTTTCCTTTTTGTTTTTCATTTTGCCATCTTTGATAATACCAGAGTTAATATTACCCAGCTGCTATGGAATGTATTGTGTCCCCTCAAAATTCATATGCTGAAACCTAATCCCATATGTGATAGTGATAGTATTTGGAGGTAGGGCCTTTGGGGAAATAAATTGGGTCATGAGGGTGGAGCCCTCCTGAATGGGGTTAGTGTCCTTATAAGAGGAAACAGGAGAGACTCCATGCCTGACATCTTGCCTGTGACATATATAGCTGCCTTCTGGGAGGCAGGGACCCCCTCCTGCTCCTGTCACGAGTGTCTGGGGCTTGCAAAAATAAAAAGTGGAAACAGGAGAGAGGATGTCTGTCTTCACCATGCTAGGATACAGCAAGAAGGTATCCCTTGGCAAACCAGGAAGAGTCCTTACCAGGGACTGAATCTGTGGGTGCCCTGATCTTGGACTTCTCAGCCTTCTGTGAGGAATCAATTTCTCTTGCTTAAGCCATCCCATCATTGGTATTTCTGCCATAGTAGCCCAAACTGACTAAGACACCAGCTCTTACCAGCAGAGGTACCCAGTAGTAATTTAAAGATGTTGGTCCTTCTATGATCATTGGAATTCTTTGTGTGAAGAGTAAGAAGGCCAGAACACCTACATTGAAAAGGCAGAACATGAATATTATGCATTTGCAGAGGAATATAGCTTTCTGTTTGTAAAGGAGTTTTTCCAAGAACTTTTAAAAGTTTATTATTTTTGTTGTTCTTACTTACCTATGCATCCAGAAACTAGAATTTTCCCCAGGATTAGTACAAAGTCTGTAACTCTATCCATAACTGCAACTCTGAGAATCAGAAAAAATGAAGTAAGATTTTGTGTTTATGTTACATTTGCTACTTAAATTTCTGAGAATAAATAATTCATGAATTCATTTTGATGTGTTTTTGCTGAAATTTTATTTGGCATTTGTGAAATGCAAGAAATGAATGTAGAACATGGGGATGAAATTCTGCCTTATTTTTAATGAAGTAAATACGTGACTGCATTGGAGGGCTGTCAGATGCTAGTAGTGTCAGCCTCTCCCTCTAATTTGAGGCTTGTAGACACCTTCAGTCCTGAGGATGCTACACTGTTCTCTGATTTTGTTCGCTCAGACTCTGTCAGTTGGGATGGGGGCCATGGTTAGAGACATGATGATATTGTTTATGCGGGGATTTCTTGAGCAGAGGGTCTGATAAAAATGAATACATGTCAGTGGGTGTGAAGACATACATGGAAAATGGAAGCAATAATTCTAAGATAGAAAGAAAAAGTAGTGGTGTGAGAGGGAAGATTTAAATCTCTCAAATTAAAAGATAATATTCATTCCTAATAAGACCACCAACACTTCAAATAAAAACAGAAGTATATGATATTCAAGGTTCTTCATCAAATCATCTATTGATCAAATCATCTATTGAAATGTTCAGCCTGTTTACTTACTTTAAAATATTTCTCATCATCAGATTGAATGCATCTCTCGCTGACCTGCAGAAGTTTTTGCCATATATTGCAATCTGAGGAAGACAACTGACATTATTCTGGAGTCAGTTACATATCTTAAACAAGACCAACAGGCATCTGGTGACAGGAAAATGAATTAATTCTGCCATCTAGCAAGCTACTCACATTCCTCTTTCCAACATTTGGGTTTGTGGGGACCCTGGGAACCATGTCCTCAACTCCACACAATTCTCAGAGTTGTTGACAAAAGGTGAGCTTCAAATGCCATTGCCTTTAAACTCCGTGGGGATTAGACAACTTTTGATGGGTCTTTTTCTCAAACCCCAGGACATGGCTTGTCTTTGAAATGTTTTGGCTAGGGCTTGTTGCTGAATAAGTTAAAAGTTACAGCATTCACATTAAAAACTACTCTCAGGAAACCCAGTGCCTTTCAATTCACTTGATTTACTGATGAAAAGACTCAATACAATATTCTCATTGGAGGTAAATTGATGAATCTTCACAACTAGTTGAATCACCCCTTCAGATCTTGTGTCACTGTGATAATAAGCGTCATAAGGTTGTAGTTGCTATATTTTTAGAAGAATAAGGTTTTGGATCCCCTGTTTTTGAAAACCTCTTTAGCAGCCTCCATATTCTCACAGGAAATAAATAAAAAATTCAGTTAGGCATTGTCAGGGCCCACACATTTCAATGTAAGATTCATAAAAAGAAACAGACCTGTCCTTAAAAATGTGTAACTCTCAGATTTAGAAAGATACTTTCTTCTCAGAAGGAAACATAAAGTAAGCTTTCCTCTATTAAACTATGTCAAAGACACACAAAATCATCTTAAAGGTAGCATATGTTTAAATTTCTAAGGTAACTTATATTGTCCCTCTCTGAAAAGATATTGAAGGTAATAATGAAGTACAGTGAAGATATATAACTATGAAAGCATATCCCTGAATCATGCACTGGATTCACAAACCCTTACATCAACAAGGTGATAAATTAAATTGCATGATGTAAAAGTACTTTAGCGATAAAATGTAGACTGGGGTTTGTGTTCGCAAAGAAGTTCAGTAAATAAAAAATAATCTACTTACCATAACATAGGCATTTCTGTTCAAAAACTTTACCACATTTTCCAAACACCAGAAGCAGCATTTCAGGCAGCATTGTAGGAATTTAGAAATTCTGTTCTGGGCATCTATGAGTAGAGATTTAAATCTATTAATGATTCACAACTAAACACTATGAATCAAAAAAATGTTTTTTAAATCGCCTTTTACATTTTTTAAATTATGGTAAAATATACATAAAATTTACCACTTTAAACATATTTAAGTGTGCAATTTAAGTATTTTCACAATGTTGTACAACTATAATCGCAGAACCTTTTATCATCTTAAACAGAAACTCTCCACCCATTGAACAATAACTCCTCCTTCTCCCTGTCTCCTAGGCCCTGGCAACTTCCATTATACTTTGTCTGTATGAATTTGCCTCTTCTAGATACTTCATATAAGTTGAATCATACAATATTTGTCTTTTTGTGTAACTTGCTTATTTCATTTAGCATAAAATTTTCAAGGTTCATCATTTCATTCCACTTAGGAGCTGAACAGCATTTCATTGTATGTATAAAACACATTTTGTTTATTCTTTTATCTGTTAATGGAAATTTGGGTCAGTTCTACCGTTTGACAATGTGAATAATGCTGCTCTGAACATTGGTCTGCAAGTTTGAATCTCTGCTTTCAATCATTTTGAGTGTGTTTCTAGAAGTGGAATTACTAGATCATATAGTTATCCTATTTTTAACATTTTGGGGATTCACCATACTGTTTTCCACTGTGACTATACCATTTTGCATCCCCTGTGCAAAACACAAGGGTTCCAATTCATCCTTATACTATAAACACGTGTTATTTTTCATTTTTTTGATAGTAAACATTCTAATGGATGTGAAGTGGTACTTCATTATGGTTTTGATTTACATTTTCCTAGTGACTAAGATTAAGCATCTTTTCATGTACTTATTCACCATTTGTATCTCTTCTTTGGAGCAATATATATGCAAAACATAAATGAAAATATCCTCAACAAAATATTATCAAACTTAATTCAACAGTACATTAAAAGGATCATACACCAAGATCAAGTGGGATTTATCCTAGGGAGGCAAGAACAGTTCAACATATGCAAATCAATAAGTGTGATGTGACACATTAATAAGTTGAAGGATAAAAATCATATGATTATTTCAATAGATGCAGAAAATTCAATTGACAAACTCAACCTCCTTTTATGATAAGAACTCTCAACAAACTGATTTTAGAATGCCTCAACATAGTAAAGACCTGTGTATATATCTGAAGTAAAAATCACGGTCTCAAAGAGATATCTGTACTCCCATCTTCACTGCAGCAATATTTATATGGAAAGTGTCATTTGATGGACCAGTAATAAATAAAATATAAAGGTCCACAATGGAATTTTATTCAGCTTTAAAAAAAGAAGGAAATCCTGCTTTTTCAACATTCAGGTGAACCTGAAGGGCATTTTGCTAAGTGAAGTAAGCCAGAAAGAGAAAGATAAATACATATGGCATCACATATATGTGGAATAAAAAAAAAAAGGTGAACTCATAGCAATAGAGTAGAATGGTGGTTACCACAGGCTAGGTGGTGGGGAAAACAGGCAGAGGCTGGTAAAAGGTCATAAACGTTCACTTATAAGTTGAATTAAGTCTAAGGATCTAATGTATAACATGGTGAGTATCATTGATGATACTACACTGTACAGTTGAAAATTACTGAGAGTAGAACTTAGTTTTCTCATGAAAAAAAATGAATGAAAAAGGTAAATATGTGAGGTGATGGTTGTCTTTATTACTTTGCATGTGTGAATGCTATCACAATGTATGTAAATCGTCATATTGTACACTTTAAATATATTACAGTTTTGCCAATTATAACTCAATAAAATAGAAAAAGTGTTACATAGATAAAAAAATATTTGGCTATGTTGAAATGAATCAGAAGTTTGTTATATATATTCTGAACACCAGTCACATATCTGGTATGTGATTTGCAAATATTTTCTCCCATTCTGTGGGTTGTGTTTTCACTCTCTTAATAGTGTCCTTTGATGTACAAACATTTTTAAAAATTTTTATTAAGTCTAATTTATCTGTTTTTTCCTTTGTTGTCTGCTTTTGGTATCATATCTAAGAAATCATTATCAAACCCAAGGTCATGAAGATTTTCTCTTATGCTTTCTTTCAAGAGTTTTATAGTTTTAGCTTATGTTTCAGTTTTTTATCTATTTTGGATTAATTTCTATAGTGGTATATGGTAAGAATACAACTTCACTTTTTTGTTTGTAGACATCCAGTTTTCCTAGTAACACTAGTTGAAAACATTGTCCTTTCCCCCATTGAATGGTCTTATATGTGAGGGTTGTTTTGGGGTTTCCTAGTCTATTCCAAGTCCATATGTCTGTCCTTATGGCAGTGCCACACTGTTTTGATTATGGTAGCTTTGTATTAAGTTTTAAAATCAGGAAATTGGAGTGTTCCAATTTTGTTGTTCTGTTTCACGGCTGGTTTAGCAATTAATAGTAAAATATTTTGAAGTGTATTCTAAGCAGAGTTATATGTTTGTAAATTATATATATCATGTATGTAGATTTATGCTGATGACACCCATATTTATATTTTAAGTCTGACCTGTCCTGAGCTCTAGATTTGGATGCCCTGACAACTTTGCCGTGCTTATCAATATTTACATGCCCCCCAAAAAACACAATTTTTAATCTTTTCTTTGAAATTTGCCTCTCCTGGTTTCCACATCTTAGTAAGTAGCATCATATGCTTTTTCTCTTTTCTTCACCACAGCTCCTGTCCCCCCAACTCATACATCCAATCCCTCAGCAAGTCCTGTTGGCTTCCTTTCCAACCATATCCTCGGTCTGATCACCTCCATCCTATTACCCTAGTCTGAGTTACAGTCATCATGTTTCTCCTAACCCCCCACCCCAATCTACTGTCTTCAAAGAAGTCAGGAAGTCTGAGAAAAGATAATTCTGGAATCTTACCTTTAAGATGTTTGTTCAAGTATTCTAGGACTAATCTGTACATTTGAATTAATGCAAGAATTAAAGATCCAAATGCTAGGGATCCTGTGTGATACCTGGACAAAGATAAAATGAGAATAAAAGTTAAAATATATTTACTATTAACTAAAAGGGCATTACTTAAACAATATTTATAAGGTAAAAGGGATCTTCAGAAGGATGATAGGAAAGAGTTTCTTACACTATTTTGTTCAGATTGATAAAGTTCCCCATAGAGGATTTTAAACCATATAATGTGTTTTGCTCTTCATCTAAAAAAATTGATACCAACAGCCTATCATCATAAAATTGGATATTTGGGTGGAGCAATGGAGAGACAAGCCAATTCTTAATTTTTAATCTGGCGCCCTCCCCTTCCTATTCTCTCCAGTAACCTACGGCTTTTAGAAGGCTATGGACCTGGGTAGGGACTATAAAACTGTGGCTATAAAATTAGACAAAGGCAGTGGACATCCATGAATCTTGAGTCATACCTTTGACCTCATTTGTAGTTTGCCACTTAAACTTAAGCACAGATTGAGTCACAAGCACATTAAACACAACTGCAAAGAGACATAGGGTTCAGGGTGGAACGTACCGTATGGCTCGTCCAAATGAAGTAAAGAGTGGATATGGTGGGATGTCATCAGGTTTCTTCAAGGCCCAGTAATAAGAAGCAAAGGCACCAGCAAGGGCACACTGACCCAGCGCAATAATAAAGTTTATAAGCCAGAGGAAGACAAACATATTGAAAATCTGGAAGGTAGTGATGTATTGATGGTACAGGCTCTTTCCACCATAAGAAACAAAAATACACTGAGCCCCAGGACAAGTTTTGGCAATTTCAGTTGTATTAAAAATCTGTACTCAGAAAAAAACAACATGGTTAATATAAAATTAAATGCCATTCCAAGGTAACACTGTCCCTGCCTTCTCCTTTTATGTAGCCCCCAATTGCATGTCTTGCTTTTTTTTCCCCACTGACTTTTGCTCTCATTCCTATTTCTATCACATCACTATATGATTTTTTAAAAGGCTCATTTCCCATCTTATGTTCATCACTCTGCAACCACTATAATTCCATATTTACTAGTGTTACTGTTACATACACCTGCTTCTCGGGTATATGACAGGACAAACAAACTCAGGAAATAAGACTGCTTTCTCCTTATTCTGCCCACAGTTTGCGTGGTCTCCTGCTAACACGTGACCCATGCTTCCCTTCTCTACAGCGATTCCCGTCAATGCACAGGGTCTCTATTTGAGGGTGATTCCTATGTTAACTGCTAGAGGAAGAGAAGTAGAGTTCTGCATTGAAGCAAATAACAGATTTTCTTTTACTTACCTCTGGGTCACAGGTGTTATTTTCATATTTGCATTGCCCCTCTGGGGTTATTACTTTGTATATAGGTACCCCTGATGTAGCCAAATAACTGAGTGAACTTTATTAAGGATGCATTATTTGCTATAAGATTGGAAAGTTAAATGGACAGGAAAATAACACAAATAATTGGTATCATATCTAAGAAATCATTATCAAACCCAAGGTCATGAAGATTTTCTCTTATGCTTTCTTTCAAGAGTTTTATAGTTTTAGCTTATGTTTCAGTTTTTTATCTATTTTGGATTAATTTCTATAGTGGTATATGGTAAGAATACAACTTCACTTTTTTGTTTGTAGACATCCAGTTTTCCTAGTAACACTAGTTGAAAACACTGTCCTTTCCCCCATTGAATGGTCTTATATGTGAGGGTTGTTTTGGGGTTTCCTAGTCTATTCCAAGTCCATATGTCTGTCCTTATGGCAGTGCCACACTGTTTTGATTATGGTAGTTTGTATTAAGTTTTAAAATCAGGAAATTGGAGTGTTCCAATTTTGTTGTTCTGTTTCACGGCTGGTTTAGCAATTAATAGTAAAATATTTTGAAGTGTATTCTAAGCAGAGTTATATGTTTGTAAATTATATATATCATGTATGTAGATTTATGCTGATGACACCCATATTTATATTTTAAGTCTGACCTGTCCTGAGCTCTAGATTTGGATGCCCTGACAACTTTGCCGTGCTTATCAATATTTACCTGCCCCCCAAAAAACACAATTTTTAATCTTTTCTTTGAAATTTGCCTCTCCTGGTTTCCACATCTTAGTAAGTAGCATCATATGCTTTTTCTCTTTTCTTCACCACAGCTCCTGTCCCCCCAACTCATACATCCAATCCCTCAGCAAGTCCTGTTGGCTTCCTTTCCAACCATATCCCCAGTCTGATCACCTCCATCCTATTACCCTAGTCTGAGTTACAGTCATCATGTTTCTCCTAACCCCCCACCCCAATCTACTGTCTTCAAAGAAGTCAGGAAGTCTGAGAAAAGATAATTCTGTAATCTTACCTTTAAGATGTTTGTTCAAGTATTCTAGGACTAATCTGTACATTTGAATTAATGCAAGAATTAAAGATCCAAATGCTAGGGATCCTGTGTGATACCTGGACAAAGATAAAATGAGAATAAAAGTTAAAATATATTTACTATTAACTAAAAGGGCATTAGTTAAACAATATTTATAAGGTAAAAGGGAATCTTCAGAAGGATGATAGGAAAGAGTTTCTTACACTATTTTGTTCAGATTGATAAAGTTCCCCATAGAGGATTTTAAACCATATAATGTGTTTTGCTCTTCATCTAAAAAAATTGATACCAACAGCCTATCATCATAAAATTGGATATTTGGGTGGAGCAATGGAGAGACAAGCCAATTCTTAATTTTTAATCTGGCGCCCTCCCCTTCCTATTCTCTCCAGTAACCTACGGCTTTTAGAAGGCTATGGACCTGGGTAGGGACTATAAAACTGTGGCTATAAAATTAGACAAAGGCAGTGGACATCCATGAATCTTGAGTCATACCTTTGACCTCATTTGTAGTTTGCCACTTAAACTTAAGCACAGATTGAGTCACAAGCACATTAAACACAACTGCAAAGAGACATAGGGTTCAGGGTGGAACGTACCGTATGGCTCGTCCAAATGAAGTAAAGAGTGGATATGGTGGGATGTCATCAGGTTTCTTCAAGGCCCAGTAATAAGAAGCAAAGGCACCAGCAAGGGCACACTGACCCAGCGCAATAATAAAGTTTATAAGCCAGAGGAAGACAAACATATTGAAAATCTGGAAGGTAGTGATGTATTGATGGTACAGGCTCTTTCCACCATAAGAAACAAAAATACACTGAGCCCCAGGACAAGTTTTGGCAATTTCAGTTGTATTAAAAATCTGTACTCAGAAAAAAACAACATGGTTAATATAACATTAAATGCCATTCCAAGGTAACACTGTCCCTGCCTTCTCCTTTTCTGTAGCCCCCAATTGCATGTCTTGCTTTTTTTTCCCCACTGACTTTTGCTCTCATTCCTATTTCTATCACATCACTATATGATTTTTTAAAAGGCTCATTTCCCATCTTATGTTCATCACTCTGCAACCACTATAATTCCATATTTACTAGTGTTACTGTTACATACACCTGCTTCTCGGGTATATGACAGGACAAACAAACTCAGGAAATAAGACTGCTTTCTCCTTATTCTGCCCACAGTTTGCGTGGTCTCCTGCTAACACGTGACCCATGCTTCCCTTCTCTACAGCGATTCCCGTCAATGCACAGGGTCTCTATTTGAGGGTGATTCCTATGTTAACTGCTAGAGGAAGAGAAGTAGAGTTCTGCATTGAAGCAAATAACAGATTTTCTTTTACTTACCTCTGGGTCACAGGTGTTATTTTCGTATTTGCATTGCCCCTCTGGGGTTATTACTTTGTATATAGGTACCCCTGATGTAGCCAAATAACTGAGTGAACTTTATTAAGGATGCATTATTTGCTATAAGATTGGAAAGTTAAATGGACAGGAAAATAACACAAATAACTCAAAAGTCCACTGAAAGATTAAGGTAAAAAAAACCTCTAATCTTTTAATAATTCATTCATTTTTTCAGTCCCAGTGTACTGTAATATGGGTCAGCTGCACTGAGTGGCCCCTTAAAAACAGTAAAATACAAAGGAGACTTCTTAAGTTGTTGCCAAGGAGAAGTACCACACATGAAGACAAAACAAAATCTACTGTATGACCAATTTGAGGGGAAGTTCAATTGCAAGACTGAAACTTTTTTAGAACTTGGCAAAAAAAATGTACATATATATAATAGAATGTCCTTTATAAAAATACATATATATCAGTTTTTTCTTTGGGATATTGCTAGTCTTCCCAGGATGGAAAACACTAGACATAAACTCCTATTCCTGGATAGTAGTGTGTACCTTAGTTTATAGATTTCAATTAGTAAAGGATACACTGCAATCACAGCCCAGTAAGAAATGCAGATTGAGAGGAAAATGAAAGTTAAGAATGGATAAATTAATGTAGTAGGGATATATCCAATGGCTCTGAAATAAAACAAATAGTTGAAATTAAAAGTGACCTAGAGCTATAATTAAATTTTTATCTGTTAGAACTAGAAGTAAGCCTTAGAGTGAATTAGTTCTAAAAACACTGGTAACAACCACAATTCTTTTTTTGCTGATTATTCTGCCATATTCTTAGTTGGTTTTAAAATTTTAGTTATTTATTTTCAGTAAGTTAGAGGCATTGTTTCAATGCTCACATTTGATTCCTGTCAAAGGTTTCCCAAACTTTCTCCTCTTTGGTTATTTCTGCCTGACTCATAAAGATTTGATACATTATAATCATGAAACTTATTTCTTTCATTTAGAGTCTCAGACTTTGAAAACTGGAGAGAACCATGAAGATAATCTGACCAAACATGAGAATCTCTCCCTAATTCAGGAATCCCTCCTGTCCTATCTTCAAAACACGTTCACTTGCCTCTGTTAACCACATTGAGTGATAGAAACTTATTTTTATATGACATAGCATATTCTATTTTCTTACCCAAAGTATTTGAAAGTTCTTCCTTATCTGCCTGCCTGATGCACATCCATGCCTTCTAGAGAAGAAATGACCACCTTTTCCATACAGCAACCCTTGAAATAACTTCTTATTCTTTTATTCTCCAGGATAATCATTTGATATTTCCTCATAAGACATGGTTTCTGAAATGTTCACCACTTAACTGCTTTTGAATAACCTTCCCAGCATATGACATGGATTAAACCCAATACTGTTTGATATATCCATTAAGAACTTTGATGGAACTATTTCTACTCCTAATGCATTGGCACATCTTTGATACTTTTTGCATTTGTTATCTCCTCACGTCACTATTTGAGTTGTACTCTTCTTACCTTTCTCCAGACACTGATGTTAAATGAATTATTGAGCATCTCTATGTCTACCCTGTAGTCTCATACTCATTTATCCTAGCTTTTATTTTCCCTTGAAAAAAATTATCAACCGGTCACAGCTTTATTGGCCCTTTAACACACAAACACATACTTCGAGTCATACAGTGGAGCAAGTTACAGGAAATTGTACAATATCATGTCATTTAAGAAATAAACCCAGGAAATCAGTAGTTTTCGGTGGCTAATAATAGGGCATCAGTTATTGTGGGAAGGAAAAAGAGTTTAATTTAACAAACTGCTTGTTAATTATTTAAACCACTGGATTCAGGTGGTACTATTATTATTATAGGTGACCATTTAAAAAAATAATCCTTAAAACTGTTTAAAATAATTGGTCCTTGGTCATTAACTACTTAGTTTCCATCATTCTAAATAGACAGCATAGTCAACTGGCTTTATAGTAATTCTTTCCTTGTTCTTCTATACATTATTCAAAGTTTAAAGTATTATCCTCAAGTGACCTTTTGGAATAGTTTAGAAACTGTAGGTGTTATTACCTCCCACCATGAACTTTATGAAACATTTAGTGTTTATTTTGTATACATTTTAAATAAGAAATGGCTCTGAATATAATAAGATGTTTCTGAATTAAAAACTGTAGATACAAAAGTATAGTCTGGTGCTGCTAGGATCAGTTATTTTGTCTATTAGCAAATTTTGTCACTCATACAGAAATGGTAATAGCACATAATTGACTTTAGAGAATTATGGTGAATTTCTCCAGACACTGATGTTAAATGAATTATTGAGCATCTCTATGTCTACCCTGTAGTCTCATACTCATTTATCCTAGCTTTTATTTTCCCTTGAAAAAAATTATCAACCGGTCACAGCTTTATTGGCCCTTTAACACACAAACACATACTTTGAGTCATACAGTGGAGCAAGTTACAGGAAATTGTACAATATCATGTCATTTAAGAAATAAACCCAGGAAATCAGTAGTTTTCGGTGGCTAATAATAGGGCATCAGTTATTGTGGGAAGGAAAAAGAGTTTAATTTAACAAACTGCTTGTTAATTATTTAAACCACTGGATTCAGGTGGTACTATTATTATTATAGGTGACCATTTAAAAAAATAATCCTTAAAACTGTTTAAAATAATTGGTCCTTGGTCATTAACTACTTAGTTTCCATCATTCTAAATAGACAGCATAGTCAACTGGCTTTATAGTAATTCTTTCCTTGTTCTTCTATACATTATTCAAAGTTTAAAGTATTATCCTCAAGTGACCTTTTGGAATAGTTTAGAAACTGTAGGTGTTATTACCTCCCACCATGAACTTTATGAAACATTTAGTGTTTATTTTGTATACATTTTAAATAAGAAATGGCTCTGAATATAATAAGATGTTTCTGAATTAAAAACTGTAGATACAAAAGTATAGTCTGGTGCTGCTAGGATCAGTTATTTTGTCTATTAGCAAATTTTGTCACTCATACAGAAATGGTAATAGCACATAATTGACTTTAGAGAATTATGGTGACTTAAAATTCTGAAAATAATCTCAACTATTAAGATTAACATATGACTGTATGGGAATAATACAACATGTAACACAACTAACTTTTATGTAGACCACTTACTTTCACATACATTATTCTTCCAACATACACTTGGTGTCAAAAAAGCGCTACTACATAGATGAGACAAGTTTTAGCCTTTTTGTACCCTATGATAATTGAGGTTTGGGGATATTAAAGGACTTCTAGCACAACCTTTCTAAGAGGTGGTAGACTGAACTTGAACAAGTCTTCTTGAATGGAAAGCAGACTTCTTTAACAAGACTTTGTGAGGGGAAAATAGTCTGAGGCATCTGCACAGTAAGCAGTGACGGGTTTGACTGACTGACACACATTGTGTGAGTTTCTCCATCAGGGCCTTACTTGCTCCCTTCCTTCAGCAGGACGATGGAGATGCGGATTCTCTCCCTGAGGAAGATCAGCATGAGGATGACAAGTGCTTCAACAATGCAGAGTATTATCACTTTAAACAGGAAAAAAAAAACCAGCATGTGATACAAATCAATCCAAAGGACAGACAAACATTCACTGCAAAAGTCAGGATGAACTTAATGGTTATTTTTGCCAAGTCTGATGAAACTTTATAGTTTAACCAATGCTACCTCTCCAAAACTGTCAGTCTTAGAAAATCACTTTCAAACTTCCACGAAATGCTAAGAAATCTAGATTAACACCTTTAGTGAGGGCAGCTTTATGTTAGATGTTTTCATTTTTTACTTTATTTAGAGAATCATTACCAAAGAAACTTTCTGAGCTGTCTGTCTGTCCTGCTCACAATGTCTTATAAATAATTGACCTTGCTGATTGATAGGGCAGGCTTTTGGCTGCCACATTTTTATTTTGTGACTCCACCCACCATGGCCACCATGGATGGAATCAGGGTGTAAACCCAACCCAAGTTGTCTAATAAAAGCCTCAGAATTAGAAATAAGGGAATCTAATTCCCTTTACAAACCTCTTGAACTAAGAGTTAATACCAACTTAAGCAACTGTGTCAAAACCATCTTTACATGAATTAGGTGAATATGCAAAGAAAATATACTATATGTTATAAAGAGAGAGCAAGGAGAGGAAATCTTGGAATATTTTTGGCTCTTCATTTCCTGTATGTAGGTATGCTTTAAAGTCCAGCGGCTTTTCTGCTTTTTTGAGTTTAGTGAGACACTTCTATGTTCTCATATAAATACCCCTGCCTTGCCCGCAGCTTGTTTCAGTCTTCTTTTCAGCTGTCTTGAATTAGTTTCTTTTTTTCTTGAAGCCAAATAGTCCTAATTACTGTATTCCTTTGTATTTCTTCAATTCCAAGACATACCTTTAATTTAGTAATAACATTTTAGGAAAAGAAAATGAATCCTTCATTAAATGTTTATACCTTATAAGATGAATCCTGACTTCAGAGATGGTAAAAAAGTGAAAAGGTATGGATATTAAAATTAAGGAAATGTAGCACTGCTGAAATTGTACAGGAACTTAATAGAAAGTTAAATTCTCAGCTGTGAAAGAATCACTTCTATATCATCCTTGCTAGATAGTTAGTCTGTTTGTGCTTGGTCACGTCTAGTGATAAGGCACTCATTATTTCATTCTATTGTTATACCAGTAAAATTCTGATGTTATATCATACATAAGCTAATATCTCCATGAAGAAATCGGTTAACCTGGAGATGTGGGAGGATCTTAGTAATGCACCAACTTGCTACTATGTCTTATTTTACTTAAACTATGTATTTATGTTTTATCATGTGCATTTGATACTCTCAAAACACTAAATTGAATCTAAAATATGGCTATAGCCATATTAATCTAAAATCATTATTTTTCTTTGGACCAACCTAAGAATATCAGATATAGCAGAATCACTTTATGTTCTGAAATTGCATTGATAAAGATACATTACATATTAAACTTCTACCTTTAAAAAATTACATGTTCAAAATGGTTATATTAAAGGAATTTAACTGTCTTTTCAATTTATATATTATATCCTCTCCTTGCATTTGAATAAGAGCACACAATAGAAACTTTTTGAGACCCTACAGAGAAGTTGGTATAACTAACTTCACAGAGTGATATAATTATAGCAGAAATGCAAATAGAATCATTTCCTAATGCAATCCAAGACTCATAAAAATGATAATTTTTGTATATATAACTGCTTATTTTCAGTGTTTCTGTCAATGAGTGTAAGTTCATATGTATGCCCTTGTCACTGGAGCCTAGAATTTTGTCCAAACAGAGAGTAAATAATCAATTAGTGCTCATAAATAGATTGTGAAAGCTGGGACTCATTTGAGGAAAGATTAGTATTGCCAGACTTGAAAGTAAAAGTAAGCTCTGTATTTTCCTCAAAGGAAATCTCTTAACTTTTCCAATGGCCGATTCTGATCATCTAAATGGTTTTTGTGTTGAAGGCCCTTAAGAGGTATAGCCACAGGTACTGTAACTAAGATCCATCTAAGAGTAAAACTAGAGGTTTCAATACCTAATGGATGAGGTTCCTCACATTTAAAAATGATAGACAACAGTAAATGTTAGGAGGAGATAAGGAATCACTCAAATTTAGTAAAATTGAGGAGGATGCAAGTCCCAAGAAACTTGATTTTTATAGTTAAGAAGAAATGGCTATAAATAAAACAACTCTGCAACATACTTGAAAAAATAATGCATTATGTGAAGGGAAACAGTCTTCATAACAGGTAGAAATGGGAAGCCAAAGAACAAGGATTAGGCATTTTGATCCAGTACTGTCCAAGGAAAAGAGAAACACTGAATTTGGCAGAAAAAAAGGAATATGGCAGGGGATTCTGTGCAGCAGGGCTAGCTCATCAAGCTTGGCATGAGCCTGAAGAAAACATCTCTCAAGACTATTCAAGGCCTTTTGCTAAGAAAGCTTCTGATTAGCAATCTTTGTTCCTCAATAAGCACTTATCCTAGGACAGTCATGTCCTAGGTGAGAAAGATCTGCATTCTGGTCAGGGAGAGTATTCCAATAGTGTGAACAACTAAAACGGCACTCTGGTGACATGACTGAGCCTGTCCTTCAAAGCCTGATGACTTGGAGGAAGTGGCAAAATCAGGTTTTCAAACTTATGGGATGGGACCCATATCTGGAATCATGATGCCCCATCAAAATTGCCCCCCTCTGGGGCTTCCTCTGGGCTCCCTACCAAGTTTCCTTGACAATGTCTTGCCTGACTCTCTAACTTCAACAATATGAACATAAATTATTTTTTAAAAAAGCAACATGTAATTAGAAGCTATTTTAAACATCTTGATTAATAAAAATGAATCTCCATGAAGTGGAAGAAATATTATAATAAATATAAATACATAAATCATCTTGCTTGAAAAATTTTGTTAATATTACCCTTAAGTAATTCAATAATCTGAATAAACACTTCAAAAGTGTAAATTTATTTTGTTACTTATTATTTCAATTCCTGTAATAGTTTAAAAGTCTTGTTATGAAAAAATTGTTGTTCCTCATTTGTTTCCTTTTTCTTTTTTTAAAAAAGTTAGAAAAATCTAGCATTTTTTCCTTTTAAAATATCATTCTTGGATATTAGGTTAATGGCTATAAATATCCACATCCAAACCATTTTGAATTGAAGGAAAATAGCTTGAGATCATTGTAAAGTATTTTCTTATATTTCTTATATTGTAATAAATTCTCCTCAACAGCTTTTCCATTTACTGTAATTGTAGAGTAGGATTATAGACACATTTACTTTAATGACATTAGCAATAAGTGTATTTAACAGGTTATATAAATTCAAGCTTTCCTCTAGACACAAAGATATTATATTATTATTACAATTTTAACAAAACCAGTTTTTAATATCTACTCACAAAATGCGAACCATGTTTGTTTCAGTTGAAAGTACAAGCTTATATCCGTCTGAATCCCAATGTCATATATAGTTAAGTGAGAATTTGGCTTTCCCTGAAGAATGCTGTATTCCCGGTAACAGTGCCATATTCCTTGAAAAGGAAAGAAAAACAGACTAACTTAAAATGTTGTTTTCTGAAATACAAGTTATATGCTCATCATATGTTTCTACATGAAACTGATCAGCATGGTCATTTCTACAACAGCAAGATTCATATTTACATAGCACATATCTTATGTAGATCTAATAGCCTAAATGTGAATTTGATATAAATGTTTTCAGTATTTGTCTGGATGACTGTAGCAATGTCTGGCTTTAAATGTCCTTTTGACTAGAAACAATCTTAATATCCATCAATAGGGACTGGTTAAATACATTATGGTATAGTTTTAGAGTAGAATACTATATTTTCATATGAAGAGGAGAAAGTTTGGTGACACTGCATGATCTCTAAAATGATTTGTTAAGTAAAAAGGCAAGGTACAAAATAGCATAAAAAAGTGTGCTATAATTTGTATAATAAGAAGTAGGAACAATCTTTAATATATTTTCTTGTACATATATAAAGTATCTGGAAAGATAAACAGAAATTTAATATTTTTTGCTCTTAGGTGGGGAATGTTTACTGTGCACTATTTACAATAGACAAAATATGGAAACAATCTAGGTGTTCATCAATAGATAATGGATAAAGAAGATGTGGTACATATACACAATGGAATATTATTCAGCCATATAAAGGAAAGAAATTCTGCCATTTACAACAACATGGATGGAGCTAGAGGGTATTAAGCTCAGTGAAATAAGCCAAGTGAAGAAAGACAAATACCATATTATTGCACTTATTTTTGAAATATAAAAACAAAGAAAAACAGAATGAACAAAACAGCAGTAGACTCATAGACACTGAAGTGACTGGAGGTTACCAAGGGACAGGGGTTGAGATGGGTGAGTGGGGAGGGTGAGGGGGATAAAGGGAAATAATAATTTGCAATCACAATATAAATTGGTCATGAGGAGGGTAGTACAGTGTGGAGAATAGAGTCAGTGATTCTGTAACATCATTCTAAGTTGATAATGACCACACTAGAGGGGATGAGGATTTAATAATATGGGTAACTGTTGAACCACTGTGTTGTACATTCAAAACCAATATAAGATTGTATATCAATGATATATCAATAAAAAATAAAAAGAAAAGACATTTGTTTTTTAAAACAATATAAGACATCTCTTTGTTTCTGGCTCTGCTTTCCCAGTGTATTTTTTTGAATTCCTTTAAAAATGCTTTATGGACCATTCAATAAATACAAAATTATATGTAATGCATATGTAAGCTTTAATGTATAAAGAAAATGAATACATGAATGCTTCACCTAACTTATGATTTTATAATCTTAATTTTGCTCTAATTAAACAAAATAAAATTGTTTCTTCTGAGATTTTATCCGATCATGCCTCCTTGCCACTCTCTGCCAAAGAATAATTATTCTGAATTTTGTATTTACTATTCTCTTATTTTAACAGAAAGGTATGTTGAAGTCTCCCCACAAGGGAAATTTATCTCTTGTGCAAATTTATGATTTATTGGTTTATTTATCCTTCTAATTCCATGCATTTTGAGTCTACTTTTTTAGATGTACACATGTTGAGAATTGGTGTATCTTTTTAGTGAATTGAATTCTTTCTATCTCTAATAAAGCTTTTTATTCACAAGTCAGTTTTGTCTGATTACTATAGCTACTGCAGCTTTCTTTTACTTAATGATTGATAGTGTATTTTTTTTTTAAATAAATAACTTTATACCCCCTTCTCCCATTTCTCCCACACCTATCTCCTACCCTTTGCAACCATCTGTCTATCTGTTCTCTGTTTCTATTAGGTTTATTTTTTGTGGGTTTTTTAATATTCCACATATAAGAAAAATCATACGGTATTTGGCTTTCAGTGTATGACTTATTTCACTTAGCATAATGCCCTCGGTCCAACCATGTTGTCACAAATAGCAAGACTTTTTTTTAATGGCTGAATGATATTCCACTGTATATAATTTTCTTTATCCATTCATCCATCTATGGACATTTAGGTTGTTTCCATACCTTGGCTATTATAAATAATGCAGCAGTAGCATGGAGAATATAGCCAATGATTCTGTAACATCTTCCTATGTTAACAGATAGATAGTAACTGCACTAGTGAGGGTGAGGATTTAATAATATGGTAACTTTCAAAACACTGTATTGTATACTTGAAACTAATATAAGATTGCATATCAATGATACTTCAGTAAAAAAATTTATGCTGCAGTGAACATGAGGGTGCATATATCTTTTTGAGCTACTGTTTTGTTTTTGTTTTAGATAAATACCTGGAAATGGAAATGCTGAATCAAACTGTAGTTTTATTTTTAATTTCTTGAGGAATCTCACTACTATAATATATAGTGTCTGAATTAATTTACATTCCCACTAACAAAAGGGTTTCCTTTCCTCTACATCCTGGCCAATACTAGTTATTTCTTCTCTTTTTGATAAGACTTCCTACAGGTATGAAGTGATATTTAATTATGGTTTTTATTTGCATTTCCCTGAATAGTGATGTGGAGCATCTTTTCATGTTCCTGTTGGCCATCTGTATGTCTTCTTTGGAAAAATGTCTATTCAGATTTTCTGCCCTTAATTGGATTGTTTGTTAACTATTGAGTTGTTTTGAGTAAGAGTTCTTTATATATTTTGTTTTTAACCCCTTTCAGATGTACAATTTGCAAATATTTTCCCCCATTCAATGGATTGCCCTTTCATTGCATTCATGGTTTCCTATGTTGTACAGTAGATTTTTAGTGTGATGTATTCCCATTTATTTATTTTTGCTTTGTTGATTTTACTTTTGGTGTCAGATTCAAAAAATCATCACCAAGACCTATGTCAATGAGCTTATTGCCTATGTTTTCTTCCACAAGATTTATAGTTTCAGGTCTATGTTCAAATCTTTAATCCATTTTGAGTCCATTTTTGTGTATTGTGTGAGACAGTGGTTGAGTTTTACTCTTCTGCATGTGGCTGTCCAGCTTTCCCAACATCATTTACTGAAGAAGCTGTCCTTTCCCCATTGTATATTCTTGCTTCCTTTGTCAGAAATTGATTGACCATGTATGCTTGGGTTTATTTCTGGGATCTGTTTTCTATTCCATCTGTCTATGTGTCTATTTTTATGTCAATACCATGCTATTTTAATTACTATAGCTTTGCAATATAGTTTGAAATCAGGGAGCATGATGCCTCCAGCTTTGTTCTTTTTCTCAAGATTGCTTTGGTTTTTCAGTATTTTGTGTGTGTGTATGTGTGTGTGGTTCCATATAAATTTTAAGATTATTTGTTCTACTTTGAAAAATACCATTGAAATTTTGATAGGGATTGCATTGACCTGTAGATTGCGTTGGGTAGTATGGGCACTTTAACAATACTGATTCTTCCACTCCATGAACATTGAACATCCTTCCATTTATTTGTGTTTTCTTCAATTTCTTTTATTAATATCTTGTAGTTTTCAATATACAGGGCTTTCACATCTTTGATTAAATTTATTCCTAGGTTATTTATTCTTTTTGATGCAATTATTAATGGAATTGTTTTCCTAATTTATCTTTCTGTTAGTTCATTGTAAATATATAGGAATGCAAGAGATTTCTGTGTATTAATTTTGTAACCTGCCAATTTGATGAATTCACTTACTAGTTCTATTAGCTTTTTGGTGAAGTCTTTGGTGGATGTATGTCATCTGCAAATAGTCACAGTTCCACATCTTCCTTACCAGTTTTGATGCCCTTTATCTCTTTATCTTGTCTGATTGTCATAGCTAGGACCTCCAGTACTATGTTGAATAAAAGTGGTGAGAGTAGACAACCTTGTCCTTTTCCTCATCTTAGAGGAAAACTTTCAACTTTTCACCATTGAGTATGTTGGTTGTGGGTTTGCTGTATATGGCCTTTATAATGTTGAGGTACATACCTCTAAACTTATGTTGTTGCGAGTTTTACCATGAATGGACGTTGAATTTTGTCAAATGCTTTTTCAGCTTCTATTGAGATATCATGTGGTTTATACCCTTCTTTTTGTTAATATGGTGTGTAACATTGATTGATTTACAAATATTGTACCACTCTTGCATCTCCAGAATAAATCCCACTTGGTGGTGATGGATGGATGATCCTGTTGATACACTTTTGAATTCAGTTTGATAATATTTTGTTGAGGATTTTTCCATCTATTTTCATCAGGGATATTGGTGTATAATTTTCTTTGTAGTATCTTTGGTTTTGGTATTAGAGTGATGCTGGCCTCATAGAATGAGTTTGGAAGTATTCCTTTATCTCCTACTTTTGGGAATATTTTAAGAAGGATGGGTATTAGCTTGTCTTTAAATGTTTGGCAGAATTCAGCTGTGAATCCATCTGATACTGGATGTTTGTTTGTTAGGAGTTTTTGCTTACTGATTCAATTTCATTGCTGGCAATTTTATTTTTGTAGAAACTTGTCCATTTCTTCTAGGTTGTCCAATTTATGGCATATAATTTTTCATAGAATTCTCTAATAATTCTTTGTATTTCTGTGTTATCTGCTACAACTATCCCTTTTTCATTTCTGATTTTGTTTATTTGTGTCCTCTCTTTTTCTTGATAGGTCTGGCTAGGGGTTTGTCTCTTTTGTTTACTTTTTAAAGAACCAGCTCTTGGTTTCACTGATTTTTTTCTTTTGCTCTATTATTCTCTATTTAATTTATTTCTGCTTTGACCTTTATTATTTCCCCCCTTCAACTAACTTTGGGTTTCATTTGTTCTTCTTTTTATAGCTTCTTTAATTGTGAGTTTTGACTATTTATTTGGGATTGCTTGTTTCTTGAGGTAGGCCTGTATTACTATGCACTTCCCTTTTTGAACTGCTTTTGCAGTATCCCCCAAATTTTGCACTGTTGTAGCTTTGTTTTAATTTATCTCCATTATTGCTTCATTTCTTTTGACTTATTCACTGATCCACTTATTATTTAGAGGCTTGTTTAGCCTCCATGTGTTTATGGGCTTTTTTGTTTTGTGTA